GGACTAATGAGGTATATAATGGTATCCAGGTAAATCACTGTGGAGACAAGGAGTGGCTGGAAATTTACCGACAGCTGAGCAGCTTCTAAGCACTGAAAAAAAGCTGTTCATTAAGTAGCAGGAGCCCAGCCCAGACACACAGGCAAAGCTGCTGCTTCCAATCTGACATTCGTGTGGGTGTAGGTGTATGGCCCTGAAAGCAGACAGTGTGAGCTCAGGGACATGCACCCACACGGATGTCAGATTAAGAGCAGCAACTACGTTTGTCTAGTTGCTGCATCCCATCAACATCAATGGAACTGCTTGTATGGGAATGCGGGTAAACAGACTCACAGGGGTGTAGTATGTTCTGTGTGAACAAAGCCTTACTATGTTTTTTTTTTTACAACTTTATATTATAATACTTTGTAATTTTTTTTTTTTTTTTAGGGGGGGGGGGCTTTGGTGAGATACCTGAGGTCTAAACAGACCCCCGATGTCTTTTTTTTTTTTTTTTTTTTTTTTTTTTTTTTTTTTTTTTTTTCTTTTTTTTTTTTAATACAGGGAAAGGGAAGGAAGACCATTACTTTCTCTGAAGCCTCAGCTGCACAGTACATGAATGAACAGGTGTCTGTGTAGACTTCTGTTCATTCATAAACTGATTTCAGTTTTTAGGTTAATAGCTCTGGTCAGCGGATTGTCATCTGTTGATCAGAGCTATTGGTTTGTTCAGCAGTATCTGCTGAACAGTTTTGTTATAAGTTCATGGTCACTGGAAGGACCATGAGCCATATCTTTGGATTCAGGCGTTCCCATCACCTCCATGGCCACAGGTGTATAAAATCAAGCATCTAGGCATGCAGACGGCTTCTAGTAAGATTTGTGAAAGATGGGTCACTTTCAGGAGCTTAGTGAATTCAAGCGTGGTACAGAGATAGGTTGCCACGTGTGCAATAAGTCCATCTGTGAAATTTCCTTGCAACTAAATATCCCATGGTCAAATGTGGTATTATATTAAAATGGAAGCAACTGGGAACAACAGCAACTCAGCCATGAAGTGGTAGGTCACGTAAAATGACAGAGTGGGGTCAGTGCATGCTGAAGCGCGCAGAAGTCTCCAACTGTATGCAGAGTCGATGGCTAAAGACCTCCAGACTTCTTGTAGCCTTCAGACTAGCACAACAACAGTGCGTAGAGAGCTTCATAGTATGGGTTTCCATGGCTGAGCAGCTGCATCCAATCCTTACATCACCAAGTGTAATGCAAAGTGTTGGATGCAGTGCTGTAAAACATGTCACCACTGGACTCTAGGGCAGCAGAGATGTGTTCTCTGGAGTGACGAATCACGCTTCTTTGGCATGGCGATGGATGTGTCTGGGTTTGGCGGTTGTCAGAACAGTGCTTGTCTGACTGCATTGTGCTAAGTGTAAAGTTTGGTGGAGGGGGGATTATGGTGTGGGGTTGTTTTTCAGGGGTTGGGCTTGGCCCCTTAGTTCCAGTGAAGGGAACTCTTAAGGAATCGGCATACCAAGACATTTTGGACAATTTCATGCTCCCAACCTTGTTGGAACAGTTTGGGGATTGTCCCTTCCTATCCAACATGACCGCGCACCAGTGCACAAAGCGAGGTCCATAAAGACACAGATGATCGAGTTTGGGGTGGAGGAACTTGACTGGCCTGACCTTAACCCCATAGAACACCTGTGGGATGAATTGGAGTGGAGACTGCGATCCAGGCCTTCTCGTCAGACATCAGTGCCTGACCTCACAAATGCGCTTCTGAAAGAATGGTCAAACATTCCCATAGACACTCCTAAATCTTATGGACAGCCTTCCCAGAAGAGCTGAAGCTGTTATAACTGCAAAGGGTGGGCCAACTCAATATTGAACCCTATGGACGAAGACTGGGATGCCATTAAAGTTCACGTGCGTGTAAAGGCAGGCGTCCCAATATTTTTGGCAATATAGAGTGTGTGTGTGTCCACCGGCCACTTTATTGGGTAAACCTTGCTAGCACCGGGTTGGACCCACTTTTGCCTTCAGAACTGCCTTAATTTGTCGTGGCATAGATTCAACAAGGTGTTGGAAACATTCCTCAGAGAGTTTGGTTTATATTGACATGATGGCATCACATAGTTGCTGCAGATTTGTCGGTTGCACATCCATGATTTGTATCTCCCGTTCCACCACATCTCAAAGGTGCTCTATTTGATTGAGATCTGGTGACTGAGGAGGCCATTGGAGTACAGCGAACTCATTGTTACATGAAACCAGTTTGAGATGATTTGAGTGCATGGTGCATTATCTTGCTGGAAGTAGCCATCCGAATATGGGTACACTATAGTCATAAATGGATGGACATGGTCTGCAACGATACTCAGGTAGACCGTGGTGGTTAAACGAGGCTCAATTGGTACTAGGGCCCAAAGTGTGTCAAGAAAATATCCTCCGCACCATTACACCACCACCAGCATGAACCATTGATAGAAGGCAGGGTGGATCCATGCTTTCATGTTGTTTATGCCAAATTGTAACCCTACCATCTGAATGTAGCCACTGAAATCAAGACTCATCAGACCAGGCGGCGTCTTTCCAATCTTCTATTGTCCAATTTTGGTGAGCCTGCGCGAATTGTAGCTTCAGTTTCCTGTTAGCTGGCAGGAGTGGCACCCCGTCATGGTCTTCTGGTGCTGTAGTCAATCTGCTTCAAGGTTGGATATGTTGTGCATTCAGACCTTGGTTTTAACGAGTCGTTATTTGAGTTACTGTTGCCTTTTTCTCATCTCAAACCAGTCTGCCCATTCTCCTCCAGCCTCTGACATTAACAAGGCATTTTCATCCACACAACTGCCCACTCACTGACTATTTTCTCTTTTTTGGTCCATTCTCTGTAAACCCTAGAGATGGCTGTGTGTGAAAATCCCAGTAGATCAGCTGTTTTTGAAATAATCAGACCAGCCCTTCTGGCACCAACAACCATGCCACATTCAAAGTCACTTAAATTCTCCCTTCTTCCCCATTTTGATGCTCGGTTTGAACTTCAGCAAGTCATCTTTAACATGTCTAGATGTCTAAATGCATTGAGTTGCTGCCATGTGATTGGCTGACTAGCAATTTTTGTTACCAACAGGTGTACCAAATAAAGAGGTGTGTGTGTCATATTTTTATTTATTTTTAATTTTGCATTGATATTCGCTTGAAGGTAATTTTGTTCTTTATTTGCAGAAGCATCACAAACTGATCTCATCTGCTCAAGTACATTATCCCACAAGTGAAGTAGTTCTAAAGTCTCTAAGCCTTTTTACCCCAAAGTGATTGTAAATCCTCACTTTGTAAAACAACCCATTCAGTTTAAATTAGAAATGAAAGGCAAAACATTTGTGTATAGAGAGAAAAAACATCAAATGCTAGGGTTGCACCGATACCAGTATTGGTGCCAATACTGAGTACTTTGAGTATTCGTACTCATGCAAATGCTCCTGATACCTGAAACTGATACCTTTTGTTTGGATAGAAAATAAATGGGCTCTAATCACATGCAAAGAATTGCATGTGATTTGACCCGGAATGGGGTGCGATTCCTGCATGTTCACGGGTGTCACATCGCCACAGCACGGATCAGGGTCGTAATTGTTCCCTGAGTTGCGCATGCACGGCTCAGTGTACATAACAGCTGAAAGGCAGGAGGATGCATTTATGGCAAAAGAGACCAATAGGGTCTCTTTTGTCACAAATACTGTGCATGTCAGCAAGTTTTTAAAAATTTACTTTACTTCCACGTTCACTTTCTAAGTACACTGTTCTGTAATATGAATGATGTGCTTTTGGTGTGACCTCATGACTGCAGTGTACCAAACACTCAGTGCATGTAATAAAATGGTAAATGTGTTGCACACGACTGGAGTACCCTTATTAACAGAGCAGTGCAGTCCCTAAATGCTCTGCTGAGCTGCTAAATAAATATACCGTATTTTCCGGCGTATAAGACGACATTTTAACCCCTGGAAATCGTCTACAAAGTCGGGGGTCGTCTTATACGCCGGGTGCTGTGCTGAAACCTTACCGTACTTCCGGGTTGACGCTACTGCGCATGTCTTCGGCAGCAGTAGACGATCGCGGATCACCGTAGCTCGCAGAACTGCATGAGACGTCGGATGCAGCAGTGCTCGATTGAGCTTGACTGAAACTGTGATATGCAGAGAAGGGATACACAGTGATTCTGCGCATGTCACAGTTTCAGTCACGATCAATCGAGCACTGAACGGCTGCATCCGACGTCTCATGCAGTTCTGCGAGGAATGGTGATCAGTGATCGTCTACTGCTGCCCTAGACATGTGCAGAAGTGTCCGCTCGGAAGTACCGGTATGGTACTGTTGCATCCGACCTTGTCCCCTTAACTGCTATGAGATACGGTAATTAATTATTAATATTATAATGTCTGTGGCAGTTCTGTGCAATTTATGGTATCTTGGAGACAGGCAGGGCTGGGCAGGCAGGGAGAGCTGACCCACCCAATCCAAGCAGGCTTTGTATGCAGTGTGCACAGTGTGCACAGAAAATACTGGTACATTGCTTGCCGTGATTGGTTGGAAGAGGGGGGTAGTCTTATACGGCGAGTATAGCCCAAACCCTATATTTTAACAGGAAAAGTAGGGGGGTCGTCTTATACGCCCAGTCGTCTTATACGCCGGAAAATACGGTACATAAAAATTTGTGAGTAGGTGTTGCCATCTTGAAGAATGAGGTGGGATGAGGAGGAAGCTGTCAGTCGGCAGAAGCACTTTAGAATAACATGGCCGTAGAGAGAGCCGAGTGGCCATGTCATTGTAAAGTTGAGCACCTGCAAGAAGGGGTTGGGGATTTACTGTCCAATTTGTCATAATCTAAAAGTCTTAAAACTTTTGGGATCTGTTATTCAGGCACAGCGGATTTGAAACTTCATTTTTATGACATGATATTCTGCAGTGTGCAATTACTCCAAATAAGCAAGAAAAATGACGGGAGGTTTCTTTTATTTCTTCCAGGAAAATGGCGGCAAATCTTTGGTCACTCTTCGTGTGGACAACATGGGATTTTATCTCTACTGGACTTGCCCAAACATGGTGAGGAATAAAGGCATATATGGGATACTTGGGGGTGGATGCATTTAACAAATGACAATGATGACAAATGTACTAATTTGCAAATTTATATCTAGTGAAAAATGTTTCATCTAATCTGTACAGGTTACATGCAACCTCTTCTAATATTTGTTGATATATTATATCTTATGATCCCACACCCATTTAGAATGACATACATCATCAAAACATTTTGTGAAATAAATTTTAACTGCTTTTGGCCAGTCTTAGGGCTGGCCATACATTATACAATGTTCTTGTACAATTTTTCTTTAGATTTACCAACACCATATAATATGAGGTCAAGCCTAAACACTTTCAGTTTGTATGAAATCAGTCAGGCCCTTCCACTACATAGTTGTAGGTAGATCTAAAGGAAATTGATTAGGAAATGTGTATAATGTATGGCCAGCTTTAGTCATTTTATATTTGTGTGTGTATGTATATACACACACGCACATGCACACACACTCACACTCTCTCACACACTTTATTGCCAAAAGAATTGACACCCCTCCAAATCATTGGATTCAGGTGTTCCAATCACCTTCATGGCCACAGGTATATAAAATCAAGCACCTAGGTATGCGGACTGCTTCTACAAACATTTGTGAAAGAATGGGTCGCTCTCAGGAGCTCAGTGAGTTCAAGCTTGTTACCATTATAGGTTGCCACCTGTGCAATAAGTCTATCTGTGAAATTTCCTTGCTACTAAATATTCCACATTCAACTGTTAGTTGTATTATAACTAAGTGGAAGCAACTGGGAACAACAATCATTTTCCTTCTACTTCACAATTATGTGCTTGGGACGCCTGCCTTTACATACACATGAACTAATGGCATCCCAGCCTTGGTCCATAGGGATCAATATTGAGTTGGCCCACCCTTTGCAGCTATAACAGCTTCAACTCTTCTGGGAAGGCTGTCCATAAGGTTTAGGAGGGTGTCTATGGGAATGTTTGACCATTCTTCCAGAAGCGCATTTGTGAGGTCAGGCACTGATGTCTGACGAGAAGGCCTGACTCGCAGTCTACGCTTTAATTCATCCCAAAGGTTTTCTGTTGGGTTAAGGTCAGGACTCTGTGCAGGCCAGTTAAGTTCCTCCACCCCAGACATGCTCATCCATGTTTTTATGGACCTTCCTTTGGGCACTGGTGTGCAGTTATGTTGGAACAGGAAAGGGCCATCCGCAAACTGTTCCCACAAAGTTGGAATCATGAAATTGTCCAAAATGTCTTGGTATGCTGACACCTCAGGAGTTCCCTTCACTGGAACTAAGGGAGCAATCAAACCCCTGAATAACAACACCACACCATAATCCCCCCTCCACCAAACTTTACACTTGGCACAATGTAGGCAGGCAAGTACCGTTCTCCTGGCAACCGCCAAATCCAGACACGTCCATAGTCACTCCAGAGAACATGTCTCCACTGCTCTAGAGTCCAGTGGCGGTGTGCTTTACACCACTGCATCCGACGCTTTGCATTAAACTTGGTGGTGTAAGGCTTGGATACAGCTGCTCAGCCATGGAAACCCATTCCATGAAGCTCTCTACGCACTGTTGTGCAATCTGAAGGCCACGTGAAGTTTGGAGATCTTTAGCTATTGACTCTGCAGACAGTAATTATTATTATTATTATACAGTATTTATATAGCGCTAAAAGGTTTGCTCAGCGCTGTACATTATAGTGGGGGACAGAACATGAGACAGTACAGTACAGTAACAAAACAAAACAAAACACGAGGGGGTCAAGGGCCCTGCTCTTTCGATCTTACAAAGACAGTTGGTGACTTCTGTGCGCTTCAGCATGCGCTGACTCCGCTCTGCCATTTTCCGTGGCCTACCACTTCATGGCTGAGTTGCTGTTGTTCCCAGGTGCTTCCACTTTGTTATAATACCACTAACATTTGACCATGGGATATTTAGTTGCAAGGAAATTTCACAGATGGACTTATTGCACACGTGGCAACCTATCACTGTACCACGCTTGAATTCACTCCTGAAAGTGACCCATTCTTTTACAAATCTTTGTAGAAGCTGTCTGCATGCCTAGATGCTTGATTTTATACACCTGTGGCCATGGAGGCCATATTTCACCGATAGACTTATTATAAGCACAGATGGCAACCTATCACGGTACCCACGCTCGAATTAGCTGAGCTCCTGAGAGCACCCCATTCTTTCACAAATGTTTGTAGAAGCAGTCTGCATGCCCAAGTGCTTGATTTTATACACCTATGGCCATGGAGGTGGTTGGAACACCTGAATCCAATGATATGGAGGAGTGTCCCAATTCTTTTGGCAATATAGTGTATATATCTTCAATAATCCAGCAGGGGCATATTCTTAATTCGCTTCATAATAGCTGGGGGTAGGCTAGGTGCCTTAGTAGGATGATCCTGTCCCTGGAGTCCCCAAGAGATTTAATAGCATGATTGATAACACGTCTTCCCAGAGACCACACATAGCTTGACCACTACTATACTGTGTGTGTGTGTGTGTGTGTGTGTGTGTGTGTATGTATATATATATATATATATATATAAAAATATAATATTTTGAATGCCTTGGACGAGGGTAATTATGAATGCCTTGGACGAGGCATTATAACCTCTAAGCTTTTACTGTCACTAGAACAGTAAATGAGAGGAAATCTCCCCCGTAAGGGTGCAGAGAAAAATCGATGCCCAGTAGAGGTGCTTATGCCTCCACACTGTATCTAAAACTTAGAAAATGTTTTCAGTACAAATGAATGTTAAATGTTTGAAGCTTCGAGTAATTATTTTAGGTGTATTGGCTGGGTAGTTGGCTTTCAATATTAATTTAGCCATGGGCTCCTGTACAACAATGGAAGAAAAGCTGTGGATAGTCCATATGGATTAGAGATTAGTATTTGTTAATATACTATAAAGAGCCATACTTCTGTGTCCCAGTTTGTAACCGTTCCAACACCCTCAGTTATCTCACTGTAACAGCTGCTCCCACACCCTATCTTTCCCGTCTCTCACCCAACCTTCATTCTCATTGTCTCTGTTTCTGGCTCTCTGTTGGCTGTTGCCTGCACCATTCACTTTGCCTGGCATTTCTTTTTAACCAGTATGTGCTAATGACAACGAAGTACAAATAGTAGGAGTGTGCAGTAACCCAACAACAAATTACATTTCTGATTCTATTGTATTATTTTTTTACAAATTGACAATTGTGATTGATATGTTTTGCATACCTAACCCATACATTGTGTTTTTTTTAAAGTGGCATTAACCCCAAAATTGTATTATGTTGCAATTTACCAATTCTTAATCCTTTGTTTTAACCTGGTTATCCAGTCAGTGTGTCTGGTTTTTTTTCAATGTCTTATGGCAGACCAATCAGTGCACCAAAAGTGGTCATTAGAAGGTTGTTACAAACCATTTACCACTGACAGAAGTGCTTGCATTGATCAGCTTCTATAAATTTACTGTATTTTTCGCTCCATAAGACGCACCTAGGTTTTAGAGGCAGAAAACAGGGAAAAAAAATTCTGAACTAATGGACTGCGGACATAGTACAGAAGATGATCAGAGACTGCAGACATAGTACAGGAGATGATTAGAGACTGCGGACATAGTACAGGAGATGATCAGAGACTGCGGACAGTACAGGGATGATCAGAGACTGCGGACCAGGGAGACTGACTGCGGACAGTACAGGAGATGACTGCTGACCTTTGGGGAGGGAGGGGGGAGCGGGTACCTGAATTTGACAGGTACCCGCTCTTACTTCCGCCGAGTTGTTCTTTGACCTTACCTGTTCCTCTATCCAGCCGCGCGCTGTCTACCCGGCTTCTGTAGTGTGGGTGCTCGTCGGACAGCCGGATGCCCAGTGCGCATGAGCGAGAAGCGCTGCGCTTTGTGATTGGTCCGGTGGCTTCTGGGATCTGTCATGTATCCCAGGTACCGCCTGACCATTCACAAAGAGCACCGCTTCTTGTGCATGCGCACTTCGCACCCGGCTGTCACGCACACTACAGAAGCCGGGAAGACAGCGCGCCGCTGGATAGAGGAACAGGTAAGGTCCCACTGCAGAGCTGAGCGGCCAGCCTGGTATTCTGACACGGCAGCGGTGGAAATACCGGACCGGCCGCTCCATATTCGCTCCATAAGATGCACTGACATTTTCCCCCCTTTTCTGGGGGGGAAAAAGTGCGTCTTATGGAGCAAAAAATACGATAAATAAAATATTCATCCCAAAAGAGAAAAAAATTACGCTGTAACTGATAAAAAAGTGTTTGCTGGAGTTCAGCTTCAATTTGTTAGTCACATCCATCTAAATCTGCATTTCAGAGGCCTCGTTCATGGGGACCATCTGTAGTGTATGCACCCCCACCCACACGGCTGTCAAATTGGGAGCAGCAGCTGTGTCTCTGCAGTCGCTGCATCCAAATCGAAATGAATAGGACTGCCTGCATGAGGATGAACAATACACCTGCGCATCTCTATGCGGGAAACACCAGTCCTTGCACAGGAGTACACTATAGTACACTTTTGTGAAAGAGGCCAAAGACTACCGTCTCCCCAGAGTGATAATGCTGCTATCTGAAGGTGTCTCTATTGCTCCTTTATCCAGAGTGGAGAACACCCCTAAGGCCAGGTTCACACCTATGTAGGTTGCGTTTGAGCCGTTTTCTGCGTTGTGTTTTCGCACCTGCATTTTTTACACGTTTGTGATGCGTTTTGCGGTATTTCTTTCTTCCTTTTATATTTTTATTGTTGCTAGGCAGATTTAAAACTCATCGAAATGCAGCAAAAACACACTACATGCTTTTCTGCAGCGTTTCCATTGAAGTCTCCTAGATTGTAAGCTCGAAAGAGCAGGGCCCTCGATCCCCTCATGTTTTGCATTGTATTGGTATTGTTCTGTCACATGTTCTGTCCCCCTTTGTAATGTACAGCGCTGAGCGAACTATTGGCGCTTTATAAATACTGAATAATAATAATAAT